ACAGCGTGTCCCATGTAACACTTTTCACAATTTTTCAAATACTTGCGATAACCTGACAGAAAAGTATTTTAAACAGAAGTTGATCAATTTTCGATTGACTATACATTGCAATAAAAAAAAAGTTCGTATATATGTCGTACGGTGTATATTTTACGAGTTATTTTGAAACTCACCCTGTATATATATACATGTATGTATGGAAAAATGTCCGGTAGAAGACAATGTTATCGGTGATGAAATTTTTGCTTCATAGAAAAAATTTACAACGTGAATTTAATAATTTATTTACTCAAAAAATATTTAAAAACAATACTATTACACGAATCGTTTTATTATCATTTCAACGTTCGTTGATTCCTATAGAAATTTAAAAGAAAAAAGAAGATAATGCTACAAAAATTGCTTCGATTGATACGGAAAATAAATAAATAAAAAACATAAATTGTATACGCGAATGTGTATGGAACAATTAAAAAAAGAATAAAGAGAAATAAAATAAACAGAGAAGAACATTATTACACGTAATATCCAAAAAAAAAAATTGCTTTGTTATATAGTTTTGAAAAAAAAAAAAAACCAAATTATTTCTACAAAATATTACGTTACGCGGAATATATCGAGAATGGAAAATAATCGGTTATTCATTTCATGGTTTTATTTCTTTTTTTTTCGAATTGATCCTCGTGCGACAACAAAAAGGGCAGGAAATAATAAAAATATGTGGAAAAGAAAAATAATAGTTGGTTGGTGTCAAAGTTCTACTTAATCATTATATCGTACGTAGCTTTCTTCTTCTTCTTTCTCTCTCTCTCTTTCTTTCTTTCTCGTTTACATGGGAGAATAAAAATGAACGTGAGAAAGAAAACACAATGTTTCATACTATGGCTTCAGTTTCGTAGAATCGCGTGCACCAACATTGTTATAACACTTCGAGGTAAAGTAAAAATGCTGCGTAATTTGCACAGCTGATTATGATCCAACCCAAGTTGCAAGAGTTCCATCTTTTTCTATCTCACTCTCTCTCTCTCTCTCTCTCTTCCTCACGTAAACATAGACATACATAGATAGATAAGGACATGGTTCCACTTTCTCTTTCTGTCTCTCTTCTATTTATCTATCTCGGTCTCTCACATATTCTAGCTTCATTCTTCTTCATCTCTATTTCTCTCTGGTGAACCACCACGAGAATACAATGTGCACGTTATTACACACGCATTAATACTCTTCCCACTCGTTTCGCGTTACCTCTCATTTTGCTCTTCTACAAAATTATTCTATTATTTATTTTTTCATTTTCCTTACCTGTCTAAAACTTCAAGAGAGTCAAAGTAATTTGTAATATTTTGTTATACGTAGAATTACCTATATATATATATATATATATATATATGTAATTAAAATATAAAGACATATTTATTTATATATATATATAATATGTAATAAAAATATAATATATAATATTTTTTAACATTTTTAATGAATAAAAATTTCGTCGGAAATAATACATAAACATATAAATATAATATGTGTTCTTAAATGAAAAAATAAAAAACCATAAAAATAATATTATAGAACAAATGATGATTTAATATTGATTTTTCTTATTTAAAGTTTGATTGTAACTTTATTCGAATTCTAAGTACACCCTAAACATAGCACGTCGAGTTTTCTCTTATTTTTTCTTTTCTCGTAGCTTTTACATTAGACCGTAGGACAGTAGAGCCAAATTTTATGGCAGCTCGCAAGTAAAGAGCAATAAATTTACTTCTTGCCACCTCAATGCAGACTTTTCCTCTCGTCGCTTCGCATCCTACTACATGTTCGTGGTACCATTACTATGCACCTACATTACATTATCCGTCTCTTGTTCTTCTCGAGAGAGAAAGAAAGAGAGATAGAGAGAGAGAGAGAGAGAGAGAGAGAATGACACAATAGTGAAGCTAAAAAAAAAAGAAAGAAAAGAGAATAACATACAGTCAAGTAATGAGTTACATTTAATTTCTTTTTTTTTTAACATAGCTTCTTGTACATTTATATTTATTTATTAGAGATCGGCATATTTTAACAATTAGCATTACAAGTATTTTGTAAAAATGAATTAGTCAGTATATTTGTGAATTGTTCGATAGAAATAATCAGTTTGTTTACTAAAGTTTCTTATAAATTTGATTTCCGTCATTATTAATAACGATTCATCTTACGTTTAAATATTTTCCAATATTTTTTCTTAATATATTGATGATCTTTTTGATAATTACGTGTAACAATTATGAATATACATTTGATTATAAATACTGATCATTTATTTATAACATATATTTACAAATATTTCACTTATGCAATATATCAACTTATATTTTCTTTTATTTTAATTATATGCGACGAATTTGTGATAATTCGATTAATATTTTAATTAGGGCTTTACTCGAACAATTTGTTTTTTTCTTTTCCCCATTGCTTTTTGTTTCGACAATAAAGACATTAATTTGTTTTGTTTTGTTTTTATTTTCTTTTTTTTTTTTTTTAATTATTTTTGTAGAAAGAAAAAGAAAGGAAAAAGAAACAGAGAGAGAAAGAGAGTCAATCCCACAGAGCGAATTCTTTTTCTTAAAATATTTGTTTCGAGCTCAAAGCGGAAATAAAAGTGGAAAAGCTTAGAAGGTACGGATTTATAACACCGACTTCTTCTAAATCCGGTAATGCGAGTAGACCCTTGGCAAGCACGTAGACTCCCGAGGATTAACCGAGAATATTATTCACAAAAAAGTCACTTTCATTTGTTAGATACAACATATTGCTTGTATCTTTGGTTAAATGTTCTGACCTCCCAATCTTTATTCTAAATTTGAAAAACTATAACCAATAATATATATATCAATCCTTTATATTTTTTCTTATTCCATATATAAATAGTAGCTGAAAATTTTGCGAATAATATGAAAAAAAACCTAACAATTGAGTTCAATTAAACAATCGTAAAATCTCTTCGAATGAATTTCTAATAATCAACGAAATTTTTAACATATTTTCAACCATATCCCAATATATCCATTTAAAATTATTATCAACAATATAAAAAAA